ATCTTATGTAGGTAGCTTAAGGGGATGAAGGACTGATAGTTGGAGTTTCCCACATTACTGTGAGTAGGCCTCATGATTTAATTAATATTCATTTAACTTTATCTCACGTAAGATATTCTCATCCAGAGTGGACTATAATTTCGATCGCACGCGGGCCTCAACAGCATCCCAACAATAATTGAACTCAGGTAGTGCAGCAATCCGTTCTGTATCAAAGGCCTTTTTGAGAGGTAAAGTTAAGTGAAATGCAATGACATCATAAGGCCTACTCATAGCATTCGTCACCCGGAGCGGCCCAGGATGTCCACAGTTCTTATATTTTGATAAATGCATCTAGTTTTTGCTAGATTGTCCTTACCTGAGATGGCATCTGTTTCTGCCGGAATACTGGAATGATCTTCATTGTCACCTGTCCGCTTGTCGTCTTCTTTAGCAGTGCCTGCAGTGCTTCAGCAGAAGCTATTGGCGTGCCGTTTACCTCCCGTATCACATCATTTTCATGCACAAGCCCCTGCTGGTCGATTATAGATCCTATCATTATTCTTTTGACCACAACCTCCTTAATAGTACCGTATTCTGGAGATGAATATTCTTGATATCCCACTGTAATTCCCTAAAATACAAAGATTGGGACAATAAAGAGGTTCAGTTTTAGTATAATATGCAGTTAGTGCTAGTTAGAAGCCAAGATTTTATTCGTATTCCATAGTCTTTTTTATTAAGACGCGTTAGATGAAGATCGTTTGGACCTAATCCGTTTTAAACCCGTATTTAAGAAAGAATTTTACATCTTAGAAGGTTGATTGGCGTCAGAGCAGCCAGCATTTACAAAGGAATGAATAATGATGTAAGCATTTATTATGATACAGCTTGAATGTTATTTGAAAAAAAAACTAAATTTTTGATTTTGATTGATTATGCTTATTATTTTATTTTATATTGTCGGATAATGCACCTACCAATGATGTAGTAGTGTACAAGTTTATTACCTCTAACCTCATACGATAAATTCGCAGGGAATTCATAGATCGACCTCATTTGAAGTTGAAGCAGGATCGCCAGAAGTGTTAGTCGATAATTTAAAAGAAATGGTGCTCGGCTATGGGTACTCCAATCCCAGTAAATCTATGCTGTACTCATATCATTCAGACATATCAATCGGAATGTATAGTTTTCGAATAATCCTTTAAGTGATTGATATTGGAATACCCTTCATTTAGTTATAAGAGACGGGTGAAAGGGATTCGTGAATTCGCCTCACCGAAAGCGGTAGTAGGATTGTATTGAGGCTTTGACTGTAGATTTGTGTAATACGTACCTCTACGCACCGCCCTATGACTCTGAAGAATCCTTACCTAGCTGGGAAATCATAAAAGACTTCTTAAGGTAAATGAATGTAACTAACTGGATGACCAAGTTCATCATGGAATTAGAAAGGGATGGTAGTCTACTATTTTTATATGTCATAGTTAGCAAAGAGGACAACAAACTGGATAGAAATGTATACAGGAAACCCACAAATGTCGAATTCCTTTGAAATTTCTTGTCAAACAATAGCTATAGGGTTAAAGTAGGGGTTATGGAATCCATGATAATAAGGAGCCTGCGTTATGCAGATGTTAACTATCAGGAGCAAGAACTAAATGGAGTAAGAAAAAATTTAGTTAAGGATGATTACTTATTAGGATTAAGTGAGAATTTATTTAAAATGCTAGCAAATACGCTGAAGGGTAGCGTCCAGTTGGGGGAAGATAGACAGCTGGACCACTCGACCGGCGTCCTGATGTTACCATCGTGCCAGTTGGCGAATTATTGAGGAAGTGGGACGTCAGGACAATGTAAAAGGAGAAAAAAACACTTTCTTCTCTGGAAATTTCGAAACCAATTTACAAATCGGGCTGCTATAAGATTGTGCGTTCGTGTGGGGGAGACCTGTTGACCCATACATAAGAGGTTATGCTAATGTAAAACAGCCTGTAGCGTTTGTAGGTCCAAAGAGCAGAACTGGCCGAACACATAGCCCACACATGACAGTAGATAGACTGGCCTAATGCCAAATGCTTAGCTGGATAAGGAGACTATACCAGTAGGCGGAAGATTAGGGAATCCATAGAAAGCAACAAAACAGCCAACATTCTGACTAGAAGGAATGAGTGTAGGAAACTACGTGTAGCTGTTGGATAGGATTAAAGAGAGAGAGAGAAAGAGAGAGAAAATAAGAAATATTCCTGAGCAAGAAAAGGTTTGACTAGTCTCAAATCTGATTTTCATTTTCACACCCTACACATCTCACGAGTATCGCATGCACGCAACAGAGGTGCAATGGAATGAAATCAACTGTGGAGACATTGCAGGATTAAAAATAAAAGTTATTTAGGGGAGGATGCAGTTGTTCGGTCACAATTGCATCCATTTTGCGCTTCATCTGCAGCCACTTTCTTTCTCAACAGAATGTAGAAAAAGCATAGGATATCCAAACAAATCATAGGATGTCTTATTAAGTGGACAGAGTTAAGCTATACGAAGTAGGAAGGATTGCAGCTGTCACCTTTCTTGTCCGTGTGCGTAGTGAACTATCGTGAAGCATTGTGTTTCGCTTTGACGATTTACGTATCATCACGGACGAAAGTTCAGCAAAGATGAATCTGGATCGCAGTGGTGCGCCGAGGACCTATTCACACAAATCTACAAGCACAGCTATAAGGCAATCCTCCTACAGCTTCCGGTGAGAACAACTTTCCGATCCATTTCACTCGCCTCGTAAATAATCTAAAATACATATTCAGAGTCGTTCCCTTTACCTTCAATCATCACTTTTTATGCAAAAAAATTGTCCTGGTAAACCAATTTATCCATCACTTAAGTAAGAGCAAAATTATGGTCATATAATAGTGGAATTACTTGAGGAGAACGGCCTTAATAGCTTTATATTATTCTGAATTTCCCCTCACGCTGATCTAGTCTGCTATATGGAACCAGGGAATTTTGTGCCTATAATTACACTTTAATATAAGTAATACACATTCAATTGTTATTTGGATGCTGGTCACACACAATTACGATTTTACTGGAATCAAATTTTCGAACGAAATGAAAGGTCAAATGATATATCCCTAAGGTATTCATTAAAGTCTAGTTGGAAAGGTAGTCCTTTAGAGTGCATAGTGCAATTAATCTCAATATAACATAAAGCAATATCCTCAATTTATGCTGAGTGGCATCAATGCCATTGTGACTTCACAAAACGGATGGTTTATCCTACCGATAAACTCTTATTTACTTTGGCTGTTATGCCTTTAAACCCACGTCTACTTTGCATGTTGCCTCTTGAAGCTTAAAAATCCACTCCGAATGCTGCCGATATCCAGACAAAATTGAAATTTGGGTCAATTTTTAGTGGCAAAGCCTTTTAGAACACAAGTCTAGTTTAAGTTCAACAAAATCGTCAGGACTTCTCTTTCCTTCGTCCTAGACAGTTCAACCTGCGGGCATCGGATAGCCATAACGACGTACGGTTACTAGCTTTCCCATAATAT